TATTATTTAACAAAGTTTTCGAAAAAATACGCTTTTCATACAAAACTTGAAGTGTTTCGAAATATTTTTTTGTAGCCTCTTTTCCGATATTTTCTTAATATTTTCAAATGCAGTTTAAGAGTGAAAAATTTAATTTTGCAAAAGCCTCAAAAGCAATGATTGAAAATACTGCTTCTCACTTGGCTCCTCCTGTACATTTTGCATTTTGATTAGATATTTTTTCTACAATTGAGGAAAGGCCCCCCCTAGTATTCACACAAAAATCCACGGAATCAAAAAAAATATATCTATAGAGCCAAATTGGGTCTTAAATTAGAAATGTGTGTATAAGTTATGAATGAATTTTTACATTGGAATTTTTCCTCAATAAATTTAACATATCGCTATTAGTCCATAAGCAAACTAATTCAAAATGGCGGCAAATCGTGCATTAGATGGTAGGGTTCCAATTTTTTAAAGTCCCGTCGATTTCATTCGTCGAGGGTGGGAGGGGGGGCGTCTAAAGATCACTTTTTTAGTGAACCCTTTCATTTGATACGATATCGAAACCTATTTCCTATTTTGCCTGAACTATATTTAAAACTCAATTTCAGTCGAAGAAAAAAAATATAAGTAGCTCAATGCAGAAAGAAATGCCGTATTTTAGCTGTGAAAAAGATCAGGTCCGTACTGAGGAAAAAGTATTGTCATAAAAATCTGGCGGAAGCGTCAGGGTGTACGTACAGAATTGGACAGCTGATTCCGGATTTTGCGGTGCTGTTCGGGAAGGAGGGTTTGTTGTTTGAGTTAATTAGTGGAGTAATTAGTGTCAGAGTGTGTAATAACGTGTAATAAATTATTGTTGTATTAATTGGATTTTGATTTTGGAATAAACGAACCCAAGATTATTGTCAGCCACCCCAGAGCCGTGACATTGATCAGAAGTGAGATATAATTTGAATTTTGCAGAATAGTGCGCGGACACTATAAGGTCTGTTTCTGCAGAAATCACAAACCAGTCAGAGCGAATTTCATTGGTTGAAACTAGTTTTCTGACTGTTTTCAACCAATGAAATTCGCTCTGACTGGTTTGTGATTTCTACAGAAACAGACCTTATGTGAACACTGGCACAGTTGTCAGTGTGGGCAATGACAATTACCAAAAGAGACTTAACCGATCGTGTGAATTACCCCGGAAATGACTGTATACCCGATTTGACTGTGATCGTGAATTTTCAAGTAAGTTCTAGAACATTCTATTTGGAAACCAAGGGAGATATTGAATTTGTGAATTCACCGATGTGTTTGCTTTATCAATCGACATTCAGAAGAGAGATTTCAAGAAAATTCTAGAACATTCTATTCGAGATTAAAGTAAGTTATCCAATTTGTGACTTCAGCGGCGTGTTGGGAACTTCAAGCAAAGACCAGGAAAGATATTTGAAGAGAGTTTGAGGGAAATTCCAGAACATTCTGTATATGCCTATTACGAGACAATGAGCAAAAATGGAAGAACAAAAAGTTGAAGAAGTTCTGCGCAAAATGTTGGAACTTCAAGAGACCAAACAACAACAATAAAAACAAGACAGAAAAGCTAAATGACAAAAGGAAAAACAAGAAGAAAAAGCTAAATGACAACAAGAAAAACAAGACGAAGAGGCCAGGCGACAAAAAGAACGGCAAGAAGACCTTGGATAACTACAGAAAATATTTCAAGAGAAAATGGAGCAACTATTACTAGAAGGAAGAAAAACGATTCCAGACAAACACCAACACCGAGAAACCGAGTAGAATGTTACCGGTGTCATAAGCTTGGGCATATGCAATGGGATTGTAGAGTAAGGATGTCCTCTTCATCTAGGGATCGTTTCCAACGCTTTTCGAGATCTAGAGACGCCAGTCCTAACAACAGACAGGAACTAACGAGTACGGAGGGGCGGATACTGGCTAATAATGAAGAAGCCCCCAGGGTTCTTTACATAAAATCATTGGGCAGTCATTATCATTATAGAGGATTAAAATTCGAAGGACAAATTAATGGAGAATTTAAAACCATCACTTTTGATACGGGTGCTGAAGTTTCTATAATTAGAAGAACATTAGTCAAGTCTTGGGCAATCCAACTGCTCACTAGAAACCTGTGGATCCACCACCTTCAGGCACAAAACATTAGTCGCTGATATAGAAGATGATTTTATTTTGGGAATGGATTTGATGGGCCAACACATGGTTTCTCTTTTGATCCTTCTATGAACATTCTTAAATTTGGTAATAAAGAATTTGTCCTAACTACACAAGAAGAATCCCAAACCGTTAAGATCCTGGCCACAAACCCAGTGAGGATTCCTGGAAGTACTGAGAAGATCATTTGCGGAAAATTGGAAACAAACCCTGGGTGCTGCGTTAGACTAACACATAATTTTATTAGAGATAAACCAGAAAGATTTTTCGTTGGAAACACTGTAATAAGAACAAATGGAGATATTATGATAAGAATTGCCAATGTTTCTTCTGGAACAGTGAAAATAAAGGAAGGAGATATTATTGAAACTCTCGAACCAGTTAAGCAAATATCGAACTGTGACCTACCAGATAAGCGACATTTTGATAAATCGAATTAAATACAGACACCTTGATGCAGACTTTGGAGAAATCATGAAAACGCCTCGATCCAGATTTCAGGAAGCCACAGATTTCATCTTGAAAGAAGTAGACGTAATGGATAATCAAACCGGACGGAGCAGTTTAATTCAACACAAAATTGATACAACCACCTCGACGTATGCCAGTAGCTAAACAACAGGAAGTGGAAAACCAAATTGATAAAATGCTTCAAGAGGGAATTATTGAAGAGTCAAAAAGTCCATGGTCTGCACCAGTAGTATTGGTTACAAAGAAAGATGGAATTCTTAGATTTTGTGTGGACTACCGTAAGTTTAATGACATCACCAAGAAGGACAGCTTTCTTCTTCCGAGGATAGATGATACATTAATAACTCTGTCGGGTCCAAATGGTTTTCAAGTTTGGATCTGAAAAGTGGATACTGGCAAGTGGGAATACACGAAGATGACAAAGAGAAAACTGCCTTCAGTACGGAAAGCGGGTTATACCAGTTTAACGTAATGCCTTTCGGATTGTGTAATGCTCCCGTTATACGTTTGAGCGACTGATGCATCTAGTTTTGCGAGGCCTCACATGAAGAATGCCTGGTATATTTAGATGATGTCATAATCATGGAAAATCCGTTCCAAGAACATCGCAATGACCTGAAAGAAGTTTTTGACCGCTTTCGGAATGCCAACTTAAAACTCAATCCAAATAAGTGTTTCCATTTCAAAAGAAAGTGGAATTTTTAAGTCACATGGTATCTGAAGATGGTATACAGGTTATGGAAGGAAAGATAGATGCTGTCAGGGATTGGCTAAAACCACGCGACAAATATGAACTAAGGAGTTTTGATTTGACGGGACGACCAACCTTAAGAGGAGGGCAGTGTCGCGAAAATCTGGTGAAAACGTTGATTGCTGATTTTGGGGGGCTGTTCTGGTAGGGTTACAGGGCCGTAGCTAGTCAAATTTAAGGTAGGGCATGACAAATTTGACATAGGGCATACACTACTTACCCCCCCCCCCCCTTAATTTTTTTTATAGGTAAACAAAATGGGGCTAATGGCGCCGAAGACAAATTTTTCAATAAATCAAGGTTCAGGTTGTATGGTAAAAGCTCGGGTAAAAGGTAACTTGATGACACATCTGATCTAGGATACCTTATAAAGATTTGCATTATGTTGAGGCACCCCAGATGACGTCATAAAGTTACCAGGCATCCTACCTCTCTCGCCTCTATCAAACAACCTTGCAATAAATAACATCTCTGGCAAGTAAACAAAATGGCGCGGATTCTCGCGCCAGCCGCCTTGGGCCATTCGCACTCTTTGAAAACAGAAAACTTCCTCTGTGCAAACGGCAAACATTGTTCATTAGATTTAAGCATTTTCGGAAACATTCATCCTCGCTTACTCGATTTCAGGCCTATCTACTTCAGGCATTATCTACTTTTAAATTTTCTAAAGAAACCTAAATGCATGTTGATTTTTAAAGGTAGGGCATCATCATTTAAAAGATAGGGCATTGCCTCCCAATGCCCCCCCCTGGCTACGGCCCTGTAGGGTTATCGCGTTTCTTCTGGATTTTGCAGGAATAGATTGCGGATATATAAAGGCCGGTATTAGTTAGTAGTTTTTAAGTTTAAGATTGACTATGATACGATTGAGATAGTGAATTTTGTAAGAGTTGTAAAGAGTTAAATTGTTTGAGTTAATTTCTCGGTTAATTTAGTGAAGTAATTAGTGTCAGAGTGTGTAGTAATGTGGAATAAATTATTATTGTGTTGATTTTGAAATAAACGAACCCAAGATTATTGTCACATACTTTAAAGCCGTGACAGTACTGATGATGGTTATTTGGTTATTTCCATACCAAAATGTCGGAAAACAAGCGGTCAGATTAAAGGGAGAGAAAAATTCTTTAAAATGAAATAAAAAATCGAGGTCCGTATTCAAAAAAAAATTAATTTGGTAGGTATGAGATAACAATTAGGTACGCCATTTTGTCGAGAAGAAATCTCAAAACTTTGAATTTGTATTTTATTTATTTTTTCTAAAGTTGATAATTCTTAAAATATTAAATAAATAAGTAAGTTTCAGGCATTTTTTAAAGGACCCCGCAATATTTAAATGGAAATTGGTTACCCGTGATATTTGGATGAAATTTAAATATGTTATTGGGGATGTCGTAAGCAACATTCTTTACCATGGGCACAACCCTGTATATATGACAGGTGAGGCGTGGTTAGCTGTCAAATATTGGAATCTTATATCCAAAAGCAGAGTAATTATGGCAGATTTTGGTGAACAAAAAATCTATTTCTACTAAGTCGACCAAGTTAGGTCGAAAAATGTCAACCATTTTGACACCTGTCAAAACCCTGACAAACGGCAGCCCTTATCTTTTCCAGTTTTCAATATTTTATGATGTCATCTGACATTTTTAAATTGAATGTAAAAATTGAAAAAAAAAATGACAGAACTGTCAAAACCTGTCATTTGTTTTAGTAGAAAAAAATACTCTAATCTGGTTCTTCTCGTTTTAGGGTAGTTTATTGGTGAAAATTGAACAAACTTCATGCACGTCACATTTTGACAGCTGTCAGAATCTGTCAATAGCTTTAATTCAAAAAAAAAAACCAAATCTAGTTCTTTTCCAATTTAAGTTGGGCTTATTTATGATAACGCATGAAAAAACACTATACGCAGGTTTCAGATTTTGACAGAGATGTCGATTTTCATTTTAAAGTAGGTACGTAGTTTTAGTATAAAGGATTTTATATACCGGCGAATTTTTTTGAGTACTTTAATGAAATCATTATAATACACAGTACTATAATGAAATAATTAAAGTACTTAAACATTTTGACACTTACAAATGAAATCTACAATGATATCATTTTGACAGTTCTGTCAATTTTTTTTTTCCAATTTTTGAATTCAGAATTTACATACAAGTTAAAAATGTCAAATCATAAAATATTGAAAACTGGAATAGATGAATGCTGCCGTTTGGCAGGGTTTTGATATGTGTCAAAATGGTTGATATTTTTCGACTTAACTTGGTCGAATTAGTAGAAATAGATTTTTTGTTCATCAAAATCTGCCATAGTTGCTCTGCTTTTGGATATAAGATTCCAATATTTGACAGCTAACCACGCTTCACCTGTCATATATACAGGGTTGTGCCCATGGTAAAAAATGTTGCTTACGGCATCCCCAATAACATATTTAAATTTCATCCAAATATCACGGGTAACCAATTTCCATTTAAATATTGCGGGGTCCTTTTCCCTTATATCTAAGAAACGAACAAAAATTTGGCAACCCAGTGAACTTACCTTGGAGCTTACCTTCAATCTTCAATGGACACTAAAATCTGTCACTTTTTGTCCAACAGTTTCGGAGGTATGGGTAGTAATAGTAGTACGGTTTAAAACGAACACCCTGTATAGGTATATACCTACCTACTTAAGTCTTCGATACCAGTACTTGAAGTACTGTCTAGGAAATTACCTGTAACGCAAGCAAAAAAGTGATAACATAATGTAATCCATATAAATATAAGAAAAATACCAAGAACTTCATCTACCTAATTAAAAAAGAAGCTCAAAGGAAGGACTTGTTTTTTTTTTCATAAAATCCGTGATACCCTTAGTTGACCAGACAGACTTCTAATTAATTATAGCTTGTCGGGTACTTATATCCTATTGGGTTTCTTACTTTTATGTTTTTGCTTCAATAATATTATTAATTATTATTATTTCTGTTGACCAGTGACCAGTCTAGGAGGCCAGACTTTCTACAATGATATTTCTAAATGTCTAATTTCCATAGTGGGTGGGTAGTCAATCTATAACTAATAACCCTGTACAAAATAAGAAATTAGGGATAAAAAAGTGTGATACTTTAATTTGGCACAAAGGAGCAAAAATTACATCTAGGTATTAATTCTTATTTTATTTAAAAAGTTTCGCTTTAGCATAGGTAGTTTAGCTATAAGTAAGCCAAATTTTTTCTGCAACACCAGTATTTTAGAAAAAGCCACGTAAGTCATTTCCTATCTGAATTTTTTTTAGCAAAACTAGACAGCCTCACAATAACTGGCGGCCTAACGACTTTCCAAAAATTTATTGAACCAGTGCAATACAGAATACAATACATAAAAAGTTATCAGCGATGATCAAAAAGTGTGGAGATTTAATTTGGCCCACATTTTATAAAATATTTATTTAGCCTGATAAAGTCGACAAGTTACTAGGTATGCCTTGCTATAGACTTTTTGGCTCCATTCGTGAAAAATACCTACTTTTGACGAGTTTTGGGCATTTATTTGTTTTCATAATGTAAACTTGTGCTGTGTTCTGCCACTCATTACTCGGAAAGGAGGAGCATACAAAATCAATAAACTAGAACATGGCAAATGGCAAAGAGAATGTAATTTTTTTAATGAAATGATTAGAAATCCTAACTTATTATTTTTGTGCTCGCTACTATGAGATGTATTTTATGAAAACAAATTACATGTATGCAAATGTGATTAGGCAGTAGGCACGGAAGGATCAAGGTTCACAATATTATTTAGATAATAGCTAGCAAGAGAGAGAAATGCAATGCGGGAGAAAATCAAATAATTAAAAATATGTACCTAATTTTTGTGCTCTTTACTATGAGTCACTATTTGATATTATTTTATGTTAACCTAATAATAAATATGCACACGTAGGTGAACGCACAATAAATCTAGGTGTGGCACTACACTAGGAAAAATCCGAACACTCAGTCGTCACTGAAATAATAGAAACTCGATAAAAAACAATGAAACAGAAGGTATTTTTGATCACCATAACAAATCACAAATAATTACTACGTCACGTCAACGTCACTGAAAGAAATTGGCGGCTACGAACGCAAGTTTACTATTCCGTATCTCAGTGGGGCGACCATACTTTAGTTACAAACTAAAAAATAATCGACCCTACGTCGCACATCAACAGAACAACCCTGGGCCCTCCCCAGATTTGATGGCGTACCGAGGAGGACGACGTTCTCTCTTCGAAGTTGCTCGACTCGACTAAAACTGGTCGATTATTATTTTGCTTGCTTTGTGGCTTCGCTTGCCTGGGCGCCTTTCGTATTCGTTTCAATTTCTAGGTAGTCAACTTGAAAAGGGGACAGGAACAAAGAACGATATAATTCGGCTCGCGATCGGCTAGTATCGCAACTGTTCGGTGACGTTTCATGCGCGATGTATCGTCAGGTCCATGTTGGAGTGGCTCAAAACTCAAAAAAGCTGCAGCAGAAAAGGCCGAAGGTTGGAAGACAAACAACGAATTTTTCACCAAGCTAGAAAAAAAAGGCAATTCTCATCCAGTGCGGACACGTGTAGTTATTAGACATATTATTAAGTGAGTGTTAGTGGGTGAAAAATAAGGAGCCGATAGTTTAAGGTAAGGAACTTCTAAGTTCAAGTACGGCCTTTACGATGGTCGATTTTACGTTTACCAAATTCAATATGGCGTGGTTGTTAGGGGGGACTTGTGTTTGGAAATTACGACGCATCGGAAGTTTGTTTTAATTTTATTATGAAAACGTAATGAGTTTTTCGGTTAAAAAAATAGGTGTTTTATTTTAAGCTAGAAGCGACCAACGACGTGATGTTAGGTAGGTTAGTTATTTAATAAAATTACCTACCTACATACAAATATCTACAATAATGGCGTCTTTTGGCTTGTACCGAAATTTTGCTGAAGCCGCAACGCAATAGATACAAAATAATACAAAGAAATGGGATTTTCTTAGCAGTTTTGATTACATCTAATTTAATAATCTTGATAAGTTAAATTAATTTTAAGAAAAATCTTTAATTTGAATTCGCCCGAATCGAGAACTCGTTTTCCATAACCAACGCTCAGAGGCATTATGGGTAAAAGTCTGTGTAGTGTAGTCAGATCACGTGACCTCAAGCGAACTGCATTTTAATAATGTAACCGCCTATTCTACTGTAAGTAAATTTATAATATGTATTTTCTCTGTTTAGATAATGAAAAACTATGCACTTACTAAACTTTTTTTTGTTTGTGTTATGGTAGTCCCTATAAATGACGATAGTAGTATATTTATTTGAATTTAGCTCCTTCAATCCTACAAACTTAAGTCGGTGACGTCACATTTCCTCCATTTTGCACTATGAAAATAGCATTTCTATTTCCAACTGATGTAAATACAAAATTGTGAATTTAGGTGTTGGGATTTTTTTGTTATTATGTTATAAGAAAAATTTAACTAATCTCCTAGCTGCAATAATTATAGATTAGTATTAACTAAGTAGATATAAGTATTTTCGGATTATCGCTGGAATTGGAATTATTGGGGCCAGTTGGGAACTGTCAGGAGTTTGCGCAGATGGGTTTGAAGTATTCGGGACATGTTCAGTTGAGAGCAGCTTATAGGATAGTTCCTGTCCTGTTGAACCATTTAAACAACATTCGAGTAAGAACTAATTGATTATTATAATTACGTCATAACCTATGTTTCGATTCGATAATTGCAAATACGGTTCTTTTGTAATTTATTTAGCAATTAATTTGAACTTCATTGTTGTCAACACTTGACACAAAAATGATCCATTATGTATCTAGGACTGAAAAGATTTTTTAAATGTAAGTATGGGGTAATTTGTTCGTTTTTTTCAAGCTAGAGGCAGCAGCATCATCCTGCACAATTAAATTTGCGTTGCTTTCTCGCTAGATGGCAGCTTCATCGGCCAAGTTCGGGAATTATGAATATGGATACATTCGCTATACAAATATGCATGGTGGGGGTATGTTGTCCCGACTGTGGCGCACGCAATGGACAATCGTCGATTTTTAAAAACAAATTGCGCTTTTAAGGTGAAAATATAATACGACTAGATGTCGCCACAAACGTTTCACATGGCGAATAGAGGGCAGTCCTTTATTTATCCGAAAATAAATGAAAAAAGCAATGATTAAATTGTGAAAGGAAATATTGCAATCTCTTGAAGATAAAATGTTGTTGCCATTCTACCTTCAAGGTCTTTTTGTGCTTCGCTCAATAGGCCACTTTTATATGCCGGGAATATGGCATTTTTTGACGCAGATATGTAACCAAGAATGCAAAATATTTTCCAAGAGTTTAGACAAATTATTAATTAAATTAATACATAAAAATATGTATTAAATTTAAACAATAAAATCACGTGACTAAAAACGCCCGCTCATTGGCTAGAGCCGATATTCATGCGGTTGTTGCAGGGTTGTTTACCACATAGAAATGGGGAATTTCAATTCAAATGACTGTTAGCATGGATGCTACATTTTTTCCCATTACATACTTTGTACAAATTGAATATACTTTGGCATTCTATTTGATATTCTAACAAATCGTATATAAATGTAAAACTATAGGATATACACAGGGTGTCCGGAATAATTTGAGGATCTTCGAAACCACTGAAGTTACAGGGTGGACCAAATAGAGAAGAAGTTACGCAATCAAGTGCCTACACATAATCTGTCATCAACTACTTTGAACTCGGATTAACAACGGATATACAGGGCAAAAAAGAAAATAGTGCTTTCCATAAAATCCTATATAAGTATCTTGTTTATTATAAAAGATACAATAAAGACATTTCCAAGGTAGGTGTAGGACTGTGTGTTCCATTTTGGTTGTGTATATAAAGGTGCGTCCAGACTTGCACACGCATGCGGTGAGAAGCTACGCATACACATACGTATGCAAATGTGGACGGCGCTTTCGTAGTTTCTCGCCGCATGCGCTATCTCTCGCCAGAGTGGTGTCGGTTTTTTGAGATTTGACGCACATCGAAAGCGCCGTTCACATTTGCATACGTATGTCGTATGTGTATACGTAGCTTCTCACCGCATGCGTTTGCAAGTCTGGACGCTCCTTTAGGGATAACTCTGTTGCTATTGGAGTTAAGGCGGGCATTATAAAACTATTTTGACAGAATAACTGAAAGTTAACTTCTGGATTGACGTTACTTCTCATGTAATTTCAGAAGTTAACTTTGAGCTATCTTTCAAAATAGTTTTATAATACCCAACCTTAGAAGGATACCGTTTTTTGCGAACGTAGGCTACTTTTTTGTGAAACGAAAGATGGCGCCAGCAGAACTGTCATCGCCCTTTCTGTATTTTAGATACAAGTTGGTTTTGAAAAGTTGCATTTTGGGAATGTGATGGAAAAGGTGACAACGGATTCTTATAGATATTTTTCTGTAGATTCCAGTGGATTTTTGTCTAGGAGTGATAGTTTTTAAATTATGAACCAAACATACGTTTTTTCAAACAACACCCTATACAGGGCGTATATTTTAAATTGAAGTGATACCACTATTGCTATATCCGAAACGGTGAGATCTACAAGGTCGGTTAAATTAGAAAAAAGTTGCCTTTTTTGATGCTCATTCAAGACTCGTTTACATTGTTGCCAAATTCCTTTTAGTTTATAAACTACAGGGTGATTTCTGAGAAACGCCCAAAAATATTTCATCAATTATTTCGAAAACTATTGATTATCGAGACAAATTTAAATTTGAAAGTTTTATAATTTTTTTCGCTCTACAACATGGCATCTTCAAATTTTAAATCCGACATTTCGTGATCGAGCTACCATCATCAACTTGTTTTAATACGGATCTGGATTTTTTGTCATTTTTAGAAAGGGAATGACGGGCGATTTCTAAAAATTACATACAAAATTCAGGTCCGTATTTAAAAAAATGTAGTTGATGATGGCAGTTCGATCACGAAACGTCGGATTTAAAATTTTAAAATTTGAAAATGCCATGTGGTAAAGCAAAAAAAAAATTAAAAAACTTTCAAATTTAAATTGTGTCTCGAAAATCAATAGTTTTTGAAATAATTGATGAAATATTTTTGGGCGTTTTTTAAAAATTACCCTATATTTCATAAACTAAAAGGGATTTGGCAACACTGCAAACGAGTTTTTAATGCGCATCAAAAAAGGTAACTTTTTTCTAATTTAACCGACCTTGTAGCTCTTACCGTTTCTGATATAGCAATAGTGGTATCACTTAAAATATACACCCTGTATATTGTAATTTCATTGAATAGCTCTGCTCTGCTGTTCTTACACATGCAAAAACCTTTTCTGACACATTAGAGAGTTATTGGACGTGCAATAAGGACAAGCAGTATTTAAATTAGCCTTATTTTGACATCTACGCATGCGCAATTAGGTCCGAAAATAAGGATTCCCTTAATAAAGTTACTGCTTGTCTTTATTTGTGTATGGTTAGTGCGAGGCAGTAAACTTTCCTTATTTTAAAGTTCTGACATTTTGGACCACTTTGACGTTTCGCTTTTCGACGATGACGTAATTTTACTTAGAAAACTTATTTTTTAAAGTAGTTTTCCATTTTACTGTGGGTAGCATCGAAAAATGGGTCAATCAGTAGTTAATCACAAACAAAAATAAACACTTTTTGAGGTTGAAATTTATAAACATAGCTATCAGCTGTCTAAATTATGAATACAAAATAAGGTAATACTCTAGCACCTACTACAGTCTTCCAATAACTGTTTTTTTCATGGAAAAATAGTGCTGATGCACTAATAAAATAACGTAGATCCTTAATACTGCGAGGCAGTATTTATTGGTTCCAATAACTCTCTATTATTTCTTATGACAAAAACAGACGTCATAGATATTGTAACCCTATCGAACACCACATCATTGAATTCAGCAAAAGCAGAACTATCCAATAAGCTATTAATATACAGGGTGTCTTATTTAAAAAAACGGATGTTTTGTTTATGATTCAAAAACTATCACTTCTAGAAAAAAAACTGACTTCGCCACTGGAACCCATTGTCACCTTTTCGATCACTTATGAGAGAACTGAGGTACAAGGGGTGTCCCAAAATGCAACAATTTCAAAAACACCTTGTATCTGAAAAACGAAAAGGGCAATGATAATTTTGTTGACGGCATCTTTCGTTTGACAGAAAAGTAGCCAACGTTCGCGAAAACCGCATGTTTCTAACTCGATAGCAACTGAGATATCCCTTATATACAACCAAAATGGGACACCCGGTACAATACAAGGATTTTATAAAACTAATTTTTTCCTTTTTCCTATGCACAGGGTGTATACTTTAAGTGATACCACTATTGCTATATCCGAAACGTCAAGAGCTACAAGGTCGGTTAAATTAGAAAAAAGTTGCCTTTTTCTATGCCCATTCAAGACTCGTTTACGGTGTTGCCAAATTCCTTTGAGTTAATGAAATACAGGGTGATTTCTAAGAAACGCCTGGAAATATTTCATCAATAATTTCGAAAACCACCTGGCATCTCCAAATTTTAAATCCGACATTTCGTATCGAGCTACCATCATCAACTTCATTTTTCTAAATACAGACCTACATTTTTTTAT